AAGCTTTACTGCTTGAAAGAAACAGAGGTTTTCAGTATGGTGAGTTGGGCTGGGCCAGGTGTGTTCCTGGGCCACAGCTGCTTTAATGCTTTAAAAGGGGGGGGGCTTCATTTACACTAACATTTTTGCCAAATCCCTCTTTCAAGGCTTTCACACAGCTCTAACGTTTACCACAGTTTAAATGCAGTTAACAGTTTTTGTTCATTGGTTTTAAATGTTTTGGGCGCAACCCTGAGCGAGGGCTTCCATTTAGAAATACATCCTCTTCTCCCTCCCTCCCTCTCCCCTCCACCCTACAGATGACTTGAACTAAGTTTTATTAGGACTAAGAAAAGATTTTTAACATTTTCTTTGTTGCATGTCTTTGAATTCTAATGCAGGAATGATTTCTGAAGAAATCTTCTCTCCTGGGACTGCTTTCTTGCTCTGTTCCTGTACTCATAAAGGATCACCCACATACTTTCTGTGCTGGTATTTGCATACTCTTGAGTTCTGCCCCTCTGCCTTAATTGTGCTGCTGCCACAGGATTCAGACCCAAAATATATTGTTCTCCTTGACTGTTAAGATAGACAGTACTTTCAAGCTCCGGGTTATTTTAATTGTGTCCTGCTGTTTTAAAGAAAAAGAGTGTTAAAGAAAAGATTTAGGGAAAAAACTGCCTGAAGGTTGGCTATGTCTGCTCTTGCTATTTTTTTTCTCTTACAAAGGCGTTCAGCTCTTTTAATTGTCATTTTCAGAACTACCAATAAGAATAGACTTTTATGAAATATTTGCTCATATTTGCCTGTAAGAGAGCCAGTTTGGTGTAATGATTAAGGATGTGAGTCTAGAAGCCAGGAGCCTGTGAGTTCTAGCCCCACCTTAGGCACGAAGCCAGCTGGATGACCTTGGGCCAGTCTTTCTCTCTCAGCCATAAGAAGAAGATGAGGCAACAGCAAATCGCTTCTGAAAAACCTTGCAAGAAAACTGCAGGAACTAGTCCAGGCAGTCACTAGGAGTCAACACTGACCTGAAAGCACCTAAAAAAAAAAAAGGCATACAAATACATATAAGACCAAAGCAAAAATCCACTCTGTTCCAATTACAATCTCCTTCTCACTCCAACCTTCGTTTTTCTGTTTGTTTCACTACAATCCACTGAACGTTGAAATCTCCCTGTACAGCCAAGCTCTGAAAAAAAACCAGTTATGTGCTTAGTAGTATTTTCAACTTTTTAAAATCTGGACTGTAAATATTTAGCTCAAATCTGCCACTATCAGTTATTGTACAATACTCTAAAACACTTTTAATTTTATTTTCCAAAGCTGTAAAATATTTTTGGATTGGACTGTGACAGTTGTTTTGTAAATAAAGATGTTAAATACGACTTTTCAAACAAGTCAATCAGCTGGAAATTGCCAGACACCAATTACCAAATGTAAGACATTTTGAAAAAAAGCATATTTGTTTCTCTGTGGTACCCTCTTTAAACCTAAAAATTACACTTTCCTCTAGAATATAATGATTATATCAGTTTTACGAAGCTGGTTGCTAGGAATTACACACTTTCACTTTGAATGTAGTCTACAGTTTAAAATACTTAACATTTCAAACTGGCAATTCGTATGGTATTCTCAAGGATTAAATATACGTACCTTATAGAAATGGATAATATATATGATAGACAAAGAAGCTGAATGTATGGAAAGGATCAGCAAATCTGATGAATTGAGCATGCTTTTGGATTGCAGGCTGACACCTTCAAAAGTAAACTCAAACAATCCCATTACCAGTTAAAGTTGCTGGGTTCAGACATGACCAGGATAGCACATCACAACAAGTAAAATTATGGGTTTGCTCATTTCACAATTTGTTGGTCAGTGTAATTCAGAATTTTGAGAAGAGAGACTTTATGATTTAAGTTGGACGCTAGTGGGGACTAAAGATTCCAGGCCAAAAGAAAAAAAAAATTGCCTTTGGTTTTGATTTGAACTGGGATTTTCAAAAAGATACAAAGCACGATAACATCTGAAATATTAAAGGAGATCTTCAAAGAATGGGGCCAGAAATTAGTAGCCACAATATCAACAATATCAATAATGATCTCTGCCTGTATGGACAGACTATGTTTAAAGCTCGTTAATGAAGGAATTGCAGATGTGAAACAAATCTTGCTTGATGCAGAAATAATGGAATCAGAAATATTGGATAAAGTACAAGGATGGATTACAAGATAGAGAAGGTATTTAAAGTAGATATGCAAGTGGCGTGTACAATGGGACAAAGAAGAATTGATGAGAGATCAAAACCTACGACAATATTTGAATGAACTAAAGATTAAGATTTTCAGAGGTAAAAAGGAAGGAATATAAAGTTGGTTTATTTAATCAAGGTTGAAATAAATGTTTTTGTGAAATTCTGGCAACGCTTTACAGACTTTTTGTTGACACCAGGATTGAAAAGTTGATGTCTTATGGATTTGCTTATCGATAAGGGATGGGTTATGGGAAGAAGAGATACCTGTTTGTAACCTTACAGGGGTGAGGAGCCATTGGGAGTCACTTCTCATTCCTTTTCCTTTTCTTTATTTACTCTTTCCTTTTTCTTTTCTTTATTTCTTCCTTCTTTGCACTTTTTACTTGCTTTTTACTTTACTTTCTCTGCATTTAGTTTGTATTATTTTTTATTACTGTAATTAAAATCTCTAATAAAAAATTATATTCTCAGCAAATCTCTTTATCTACTTGGGTTTTCCATTCCTAACTTTCACACTGCATGGTCCCACCAGAAGATCCATGATGTTAAATTTGAAAATAGCTGATGTCCTTTTAGAATATTGATAACAAAAGTAGAAAAAATATAGAATTGCAATATACTTGGCTTTTAAATCAAAATCAGTTCAGGGATTATGACTCAAAAGCAGTAGAGAGTTATCTCTAATTTAACACTGTCACTAACGTTGCCACAAATAAGAAGATCCAAAGTTACCTTGTTTATATAGTTTTTGTATAAAATACACAGTTCAACTGGGTGACCTTCATTTCAAGAATGTATTGGACATTCTGGAAATGTATGTTCTCCTTGACTGGAACAAAATGTAGTATTATACAACAGTTACTAGGAAATAAAGTTTTCAGATGTACTCAGTCATGGGTAACAAATAGCTTAAAGCATGTTAAAAATTAACATTAGTTTTGTTGTAGTTAGTGTCTAGCAACACTTGGATATATTCAAATAATTGTCCTAACATAAATCAGTTTTCTCTAGATGTTTCTCAAAGCTCTGACTTTTGCACAGGCACCTGAGAGATATTTGAAATTGAAGAAGAAGAAAAGCAACTATAGGATTAAAAAAAACAGTAAGATAAGTAAGGAAGAAACTTTGTTGACTGTTGCAGGAAGAGAGTAGTTCTATTATTTACCATTTTAATGATGTGGTGGGCTCATGTCTATGTTTGTCTTTAGAAATATTTGCAGAGTTGGGTCCTCAGAATTCCAAAAGGTATCTTTTAATCGAAGGTAATTGCTTCCCCAGAGCTAGGCAGGGTTCAGCCCTGCGTGCTCCCACCAGAAGATCCATTATGTTGAATTCAATTGACTGCCTTTAAGCATATTTAAGAGTGGGAGTACCTACAATAAAATCATAAGCTATGATTCATTCTCTTATACTGTTTTTCATTGGTAAACAATGAATGAACAGTCAACCAGTATTTAAAGAATTGTCATTTTTAATACAAGGATTATCAAAATAGTTGGGACCAACTTATTCAGCTTCGACACCAAACGTAATTCGTAGGACATTACTGATTTAAAACTCTGTGTTTCTCATTGCAGACAGAGGAGAGCTGGGTTTGTCTATGATATCAAAAAATCAAGAAACAGTAGCACCTTTATAGCCTAACCCATTTTATTAAAAGGCAGACACTTTCATGCCTTTTAATAAAATAATTTTTTAAAAAGTGCTACCAGACTCCTTCTGATGACTGATAAAAATTATGGCATAGGATGATACATGCCACAAAGTTTTAATAGAAAAAAAAATCTTTATTTCCATCCTGTCAGCTTTCCTCCTGAAACAAAGCACCCTGTGGATCCTGAACCAGAATGCCAAATAAAGCCCAAGAGGTAAGCAATAGATTTCTTTATTTTGTCAGAACCCTTCTTTGGACTCACACGATTCTAATTATCGTAAGCCTGAGACCAAGGTTCTGAATGTCCTGCTTGAGTTTTGAATGGAATGCATGTCTGGCAAATGCCACCATGGTGCCATCAAAATAATAGAGTCTTGTATTCATGTAAATCTTGCAGGTCTTTCACTCAGATTTTCACTAATCCTTTCAGCAGCATAATGCTTTATATTGTTTCGATACAGTGGCATTTATACAGTGTTGATTAAAGATTATTAACATTCTAATGTTTAGATAACTTAAACCATTAAGGATACAAAAAAAGGAAGAAAGAAAGAAAAGTAAAATATCAGTATTAGTTATGATTTAAATGTCAGTGTTAATGAGAATAAGATTGCACAAATACTTTGATGGAACCTGGAGCAGTTTTTCAATGTTATATTCAAATTCTGGATGAAATTTTTTTTTTAAAAAAGGAGGTAAGGTGAAGAGAAAGCAATTCATCTAAACCAGTGTTTTTCAAACATGACAACTTTAAGATGTGTAGACTTAATTCCCAGAATTCCCCAGCCAGCACTGGCTGGAGAATTCTGGGAGTTGAAGTCCACACATCTTAACATTGCCAAGTTTGAAAAACACTGATCTAAATGTAAAAAGTAGGGAATGGTTTTGATTCTTCATATCGCTGCTATTATGGTAGGTTTGTCTGTAAAGTTACATATTTGCTGTAATGAGGGGGGGTATAAATGAAAAAGTCAAGGGGGAGCATGATTTCCAGATGAATTCTCTCTTTGCTTCCATCCCTTATTTAGTCAGGATGAAACTCCACTTTAGGAAAAGACTTTATAGGAATACATTATGTCATTCCAGCCTCTAACAGAGTGGAGTTGTGGGGAATAAAGGAAGTGCAACTCTGATTTTAACACCCTTTTGACTCTGTCAAGTACTTGACCATGTTCTACCAATGTATATTATTTACTAGGATGCTGTTATCAATCTCCAGTCAATCAGAGATCTTGGTAAGCAACTGGGTTTTGAGTGGCCAATGGTGGCCTATGAACTGGGATTCAGTCGTGCTGAAATAAGCCAGATCCATGTCCTCACCACAGATAAGAAGAGTCAAGCCCAGAAAATGCTGGAACACTGGTAAGGTAATCCTGACAAAGTATATAAACCTATCCAGTGTAAAGAGTCTTTGGCGCTGTGAAAGCGAACAAATGTATTATGGTATAATACTGTGTATAT